CCCAGCCGAAACCAGGACAATGGACATGGAAAAAACAGACAGAAAAGTTAACTGAAAGGAACCAGAATAAAGATCATGATTATTTCATAAATACATTCAAACTAAAGACCCAGAAACTTTTATCATGCATGCTTACTTCACTGAGATAAGCTGGCTGAGGACAGTATAATGGTGGTGCTGGAAGATAAAGCCCATCTGGAACTAAGCCATACAATTTTCTGCTAAGATCCTTGGCAGAATCCAGTAGAAGCTGAAATGTCTCTGAGAGAATATCAGCATCTGCCATAACAGCTGCTTTCAGTAGTTCCTGTATTGAACTATAAAGAACATTTGCATCTTCTTCTTCAATGGGATCTATAAAATATTCAGCATAGAAACCGATAAATTAATTAACCAATTAACACGTGGCGTTCATTCTGCAATTATGAGTCTACGTTCTCAGAATTTGCATTCGTCTATTACAATGTATACATTGCATCTACTTGCTTTAAGGTAAGTTCTCTCACATTTGAAAATAGTATTCAATTATTAATTTTAGTTTTTGCCACATTAAGGGGGAAGCTATTGCCTTTCTCGATAGAGAACTGAACTTTTCAGCCATGCATTTACTTGGCATAAAATTCTGGCAAATCATTCTCACCAAGCAGGCATAAACTAGGTATACTATTGACAATGACTAAAACAACTCTTTTACCAGTGATCATGATGATCAAGGAAAGAGAAATTTATTTGTTTGATCTCCTTTACATAGACTTTTTTCTTCATCTCCTAGAACTAGAAGGACCTTTAACATACATCATTAATTGGTTCCTGAAATTCACAAAATATTATACTGCTCTACTTCCATTTCTACTCTTCCTCCTTGTCTTGAAATATGTGCTGTCATATCTTTCCACTACCTATCATACTTACAGATTGTTATATACAACATATATATATATATGTGTGTGTCTGTTTGAAATAAAATCCTTGGAGATGAGTATAAAAGAAGAATCTACACAGCGTTTGGGAGATGGCTTAAATAAAGATTAATTAACATCCACCTGCTGACAGAACGTGGAATGTGGTTTCTGAACACACAAAAAGAAGATAAGGAATAGAGATTGTGCCTAAGCTTTCTGTAAAATGTAAACAAGGGCAGGTTGATCTAGCTAACTGGGGCAATTTCAGCAGTAAAGTATTAAGTTAGGTTATGTAATGAAAAGCTCATATACACAGATACAAAGGAGCACAGAGACAACAGAAGGTGGGGGAACCTGAATAATACCCAGACTCATCTACTCACAGCAGAAAAATCAACCCATTAAAGGCTCAGCTCCACAAGCCCAGAGATGCACAACAGCAAATAATGTACTCAGAGAAATGGACACCCTGTCCAGGCTCTTCTCAGAATAGCCATCAGCCCCAGTATCCAGGTATAAAACTATGAAGACGAGACAATGGGAGTGGCTCTCTTCAGTACCTTTTGTCTTAAAAGGGTTACTGTCAAGAAGGATAGGACATACTATAGGATGCAGGGGAAGAGGTTTTGGGACTGCATAAGGCTCATTATAGGATCTTTATGAAAGAAACCAAAGGTATGTCATGAAGTTGCGGCAGCCTCACCTCCATTGGGCCCTGTCAGCATGTGCCTGTTTTCCTGGGTGAGGGACTCCCTATTCTCTGTGTATGTGTATACGATTTTTAGTGCCAACAACTGCAGCGGGACCATGGGTCAGAAAGCCTGTGTGTCTGGGATGCCAGCAACTGCAGACAGGGGTTAAGTTAAATCAAGTGCCAGCGACTGGAGTAGGACCACAGGTCAGTGCCCACGCATCCACAGTGCCAGCAACTGGAGCAAGTGAGGCTACATAAGTGAATGCGTGAGTGCTAGCAAGTATCAAGTCAGACTAACAAACAAGTAAATGAAGTGCCCTGGGAGCTAGGGGTGTGTGCATCTTGCTCTTGCAAGAGTGAGACCACAAGAACTTGCAGCGACTGGAAGGACCAGTGCAAGACCTGGCCAACTGACAGAGAGACAACTGGGAGACCTGCTTGTGTGTCTGCATGTCTCTAAGGGCAAGACAAGGGGATATGGATACTAGAGGGACCAAGGAAGTCATGACCACCTGCCAGAAAGACAGTGTGCTCACAGGTGTGTGCATCTCTAAGGATGATGCAGCTGGAAAGACTGAGGATCCCAGACCAGCTAAATACTGAATGGACTGTATATTCAAGGCCAGCTACTGTGGGGGTGCACAGACAGCATGTGCGTGGGGGGAAGAGGGTATCTCCGAGTGCGTCTGTACCAGCAAATGGAGTGGGACTTGCGCTCTGGGGGCTCCTATATGCATATGCCAGCAACTTGGAAGACTCAGCTACTGCGTCTAAGCCCACTTACTGGAGGGATGCACATTGTACATATAGGTATGTATACACAGACCTTCATCCTGACAAGCAAGAGAGAGAAGCAGGATGGGGTTGTTGGTGGTGCTTGTGCAAGTGCTGAGCATGTCTTTTGATGCTGATCTGTGTGGCCAGCTATATATAGGTGTTGCATTTGTGTATGTGCCTACTGGGAACACACTCAGCCTTGCCAGGTGTTAGACCTGGGGGCATGGAGCTGTCAGACTCTGAGACACCAACTACCCTTTTCCCCTTTAACAGAAAGGAAAGGCAAAAATTAAACGCCATCATGTAACTAATTTTAAGTATGATGATACTTTCCATACTGTTAATACATCTGCATTTGCTTCAGGGCATTTTTTTTGTTGTTTTAATGAAGCTTCAGTTTTCCTCCAAACTGTAGTTAATATCAAATAGTCAAATAAGATTTTGGCTGATACGCATTGACAAAAACAAGATTGATAACATGGTCCATTTTCAGAATTATCAAAGCCAAAACCCAAGCCCCTATAAAATTAAAGTATTTGAATACATTATAACAGTAATGCACACGTTGGAGAAACAAGGTAATTGTTTCTTTTTAAGACAGCATATAACACAGAAGATGCAGTGAAATAACATGATAAAAACCACAATTATTTATAGTTGTGTGTACCTGTAAAGTGCTTGTATTTAATACATCCTGATGTTTCAGAAGTAAATGGCTGTCCTAACAAAGATTGTAACTTTTCCTGAAAAGTCAGCATTGGTGATAAGCTTAATGGCAGGTGACGCTCTGTGTTTTTCAGTCTGAAAGTATAACAAAACTGTTCATTAATAACAAAGTAAAACCCACAGATAATCTAATGAAGGTCTGTCAAATAGATACCTATGACAAAATAACTAATCTTAACATGTTAGGTCCTACATGTATTAGGAGTCTGGGAACACCAATTTTTGAGGCAAAGGATATGCCTCATTACAATAAACTTCATGCAAATAACATTAACAAAATATAGTATACTAATTCCAAGCTCAAAATTACCTTGAGAATTCATCAGAGTTTTGACAATACAGCTGATAGGCCACACCAATTGAAACAGACAGTTTCCAGTCCCCAACTCTGTGTGTTAACCACACAGCCTCTGGAATGAGTCCACCAATAAAGAACAAATCAAGAGCATATTCAGCTGTCCACACAGATGAAAGGTTCTGGTCCCTAATGGCTCTGGTAACCAAAGAGCGTTGCAGTGGAATAATACGAGGACAGAAGTCTGTGACACAAAAAACACAGTTTAAAGTTTAAATAAATCTGCATGCTATCAGATGAATAATCTAGAATTCATATGTTCACATTGCTTTTGGATTCATTTCAGTGTACAATTTTACTTTACTTTTACTTTACTCTTTATAAGAGGCACACTACAGGGCTTATCTGCAGCAGGCAGATGCAGCTCATTTTATAATATAACAGCGAGGTCAGAGTAGGCAATTTTTTTGCTTAATAACATAGGATATGCAAGCATGTGCAAAACTTGTGGGTTTTGAGGAGGCTGAGGGGAAACCTTATCGCTCTCTACAACTACTTGAAAGGAGGTTGTAGTGAGGTGGCTGTTGGTCTCTTCTCCCAAGGAAGAAGTGATAGGACAAGAGGAAAAGGCCTCAAGTTGTGCCAGGGGGGGGTTGGAATGGATATTAGGAAAAATTTCTTCTCCGAAACGGTTGTCAAGCATTGGAACAGGCTGCCCAGAGATGTGCTGGAGCCACCGTCCTTGGAGGTATTTAAAAGATGTGTGGAAGTGGCACTTAGGGACATTATTTAGTGATGGGCTTGGCAGTGTTAGGTTAATGGTTGGACATGATGATCTTAAAGGTCTTTTCCAACCTAAACGATTCTATGATTCTATGCTATGGATGACATTCTATTCAGTTGCACACATCAAACTATTAACTTTAAACACCAAAAATATTTTCAGTAATCAAGAGATGCAAAACATTAATTCCACACAGACACACCCCTCCACAAAAATATCTGGAAAAACTAAATTATTTTATCTTTACAGTGACTGGTGCTCAAAATATAAATCACCAAGCTAAAGCACAGACAGCATTGATATACGTGTAAAAAAAATTGTAAGAGTTAAGCACAGCAAATTAAACTGCTTTTCGAGAAAATACCTTGTTTGATGTGAAGTGGATGCAGGGTGTCAACATTGTGAGGGGGGAAGATATAGAGCAGCTGATTTGTGAAATAAGCGGCCATGAATCGTGCCATGGATCGAATCACAGCCATAGCGGTTTCAGTATGAACATCTGTTACCATCCATAGCTCATGCTGAAAATACTTGGTATCTAAAAAAACAGGTATCAAATTAAAACATTATGAGGAAATTTATTTTAAATTTGAATGCTAAAATTGTTTAATCACAGATTATAAAACATTTTTTTAAAACAAGCAAACTATGGTATTACTTAGTTTCTTGACAAGCTTTCAGGACTTACAGAGCTTAACCTTTTATGCTAATTACACATTATATTAATATTAAAAGACTTTTATACTAGGTTTTTAATGGCTGGAGATAGACCTCTAGTATCTACGTTTAGATCAGTGCTGAGTCAAAAAAACCTTTACATTTTGAAATTTAGATTTCTTACTCCCGTCTTAATAGAAAAAAAGTTACAAGCATCTGAAAAAAAAATCCCACTGTCAGTTTCTAGTGACCAATCTAACATCCACTATTTTACCATGTTGTATCATAAAAAACTGTTAAATCAATATAAAATGAAATCACATCATTTTCCCCTTATTTTTCTTATCCAAAGTCTTTCCTTGAGCAGATTTGAATATAAGAACATTTAACGGGCCATACTTTCACTATTAATTATACAATGAAAGTTGTCTAAACACTCCAACAAGTGCAACTGAAGGAACACCTGAGGATCAGAAGATCTTTAAAGTCACTGAAAACAGACTTCAGTCCAGTGTAAAGAGAAAAGCATGCTGTCAAGTGTGTGTGATGGCACAGAAATTAGATACCAAGTTATTCAAACAGTTACCAACATACCTTATCATACTTTCATACAACATAAACATACCAGAAAATTCTTCCATCTGACTCACTGAGAGCTGTGAGCGCCTTAGAATCTCTCCTACCAGATGATCACAGAGTCCCTGAGCCTCACACAAGTTATATTGATACAGGTGGCAAAATAATATTGCAAGATAATATCTGGTCTGAAGAAAACATGTTCTTTTTCCTCCTGCATTAAAAGAGAAAAAAAGGGCAGAAGTCCATTTGGAAAAGAAACAATAAACACAAAACCAGACACAGTAGGTTTGAAAGTACTAGTTCCTCCCTCTCCAGAAATGTATCTACGTAAATATATACTCTGAGAAGGAATGGAACTCAGGAGCAGCTATTTTAGGAGATACGATCCTCCTACAACCTCTAAGTTACTAATGAGTTAATGCTCACCCACAACAGTTTTACTTCTAGAGATCTGGCAGTTTTCAAAACAATAGAGTGTTGTCCTGATTTAAGCCAGCAGGCAGCTAAACACCACACAGCCATTCACTCACTTCCCCCACAGTGGGATGGGGAGAGAATTGGAAAAAAGGTAAAACTCATGGGTGGAGATAAAGACAATGTAATAGAACAGAAAGGGAAGGGAGAATAATAATAATGATAAAAGAATACAGAAAACAAGTGATGCACAATGCAATTGCTCACCACCCACTGACCAACACCCAGCCAGTTCTTGAGCAGCGTCTGCACCCCCCCAGGCAACCCTCCCATTTTTTTTGTTCAGTATGACATCATATGGTGTGGAATATCCTTTTGGCCAGTTTGGGTCAGCTGTCCTGGCTGTATCCCCTCCCAGCCTGTTGCGCACCTCCAGCCTCCTTGCTGGCAGGGCAGTATGAGAAGCTGAAAAGTCCTTGACGTAGTGTAAACACTGCTCAGCAACATCAGTGTGTTATCAGCATTATTCTCATACTAAATCCAAACCACAGCACTATATCAGCTACTAGGAAGAAAATTAACTCTATCCCAGCCAAAACCAAGACAAGCATGTAATTGTGAACACACAGGCAAAACCAAGAGACCTCAAGGGAGCCTTGCCTTCAAAGAAGGGATGCCTAAACCACAATGAAATTGCTTAGATACCCACCAAGCTTCCAATATCCTGAATTCTTTCCACATGAGGTATTCCTCATCATAATAACCAGCAAAAAAAAAAAGCTCATCTGTTTTTCATTGTCTCTTTCTTGCTCAGAAATATACCTAGAGATTTTCTGTACCCAGTACTTCATAATCAAAACACAATCAAACTCCGGTATTAAAATAGAAATGCATGAAATTTTCTCAGGGAGCAATCAGACTTAAGTTTTGACTGGTCTCTATTCAAATTCCAGCTTAATTTCAAATATGCACCCTTTATGTGTCTCGCCCCCTTTTCTGAAGGGCAAACAGAGTCACACATAACTACATTAAAGCTATTATACAACTTAACCCCTCCACCACCAGAAAAGATTTTATCCCTTACCTTTTGCCTTGATTTCACAAAGAGATCTTTTCCAAATGTCCACAGATTCCCTGTATGAGCCTAAAAGGAACTTCTCCTCACCTATAAAAGTCACACATACAACAAACTAAAAGCTCTGCATAGTTAGTTTTACATGTGCAAACACACAAGCACTTATTCAGTATTATAGATTAAAAACAGAGTAAAATATGTGAGTCAAATTTCTACTCTCAGAGCTAAATCGAAGTTTTGAGCATCAAAGAGAAGACGGCTTTGAATACCCCTTCCTACTTTTCTTTTTGCAATTGCTAAATCACTATTAAATGAAAAAAATCAGTTTAGGTTATAATTGCTCCTACAAGGTTTTCAGTAATTAGGTTATTTTTTTAGATTACACAAGGTTATAAATGTTAATCATAGTTGGAAACGTCACTATTCAAAACCCACAATAGTTACTAATGGGGAAAAGCATTTTCTCTTATCTGTTTTTGTATTTCCTATTATGTGGAAGATGTTTTATCATTGTAAAAAGCAGTCATAAAATTATTTAGCAGGTTGAACATATATATTCTTTTTCATTGTAAAAGCACTTTCAAACACCACGTCTGTGGACTGTTACACATTTCATCTCTCTAAATGTCACCTCTCCACCTCTATTCCCATTCCAATTTTTAAGCCATTGGTCAATTCTAAATCCTTTGACAGAAAGGCAACTGTAAAAGAGCACAGCTACTGGGTAAAGGAGAAGTAGGGGGAAAATAAAATAGCACTACCATAGAAGAAAAGACAAGGCCAGTTCAGGTATTGGCTGGCCCATCACTGTATATGTTACTCTAGCTCATCCATAAACTGTGCCATTATCTATTTGGCAAACTGAATGTAAATAAAGAACATAAGGGATGGGTGGAAAGGAAGGCTGGTAAGCTGCATGTATCGTTAGGATGACTAGAAGAGACATGAAGGAGCTAATGTATTGTACAGACTGATGTAGGAAGAGAAGCTGTAAGTATCATTTAAGGGAGAGATCAAGAATATGGTGAGGAAACAGAATCGTGGTGGGAGACATAAATGGGAAGCTGGTCTTATTAGTGTAGAAGGGGAAAGATAGAGCACAGGACAGTAATGTGTAGGAAATTAGACTACAACCATATACTATTTGCAAAATAAATATACTAGATTAAGTCTATTACATTAGGTTACACTGAATCAGATGCTTAGTTGAGGCTGAGTACATTCATGTACATGACATGCTCATGCCCACAGTGATCACATGGAGTGAACAGGATTTCTAAATAGAAATCCAGTAAGAGACACATTGTGATGCCCATCTACCTCAGAGGAAATAACAGTACAAATGAGACCAGAATTCAGATCCTGCATTCAGATCCTCTAGGACATGACTCAAAACAAACTGAAGTCAATATAATCTTTTTCTTTACCCCAACCAGCTCTAAAGATTATAATAAAATCTACAGGTGTACTGCAACTTCAAGTATTTAAGAGAGAGTTCTGATCAGAATTTTAAGAGAAGTCCCACTATTAACTTTTTTAGAATCTGGCGGTCAGTTACTGATTGTCATTAATCTTCCTAGTATTCAGTTAACCATGCAACTACCTAACATTTGCAGTTCTTTTCAAGGTACTAACCAGATACAGAATTAATCTTCAAATGTTGTTCCAAGGTCAATCCTGAAGACTGGAGGGTCGCTTGAACATGACTTAAAAGCAATGAGACAACAGACTCTTCTTCTGCATTCTTGTTCACCTTTCTATTCAGCTGCACCTGATACCAAACCACTTTCTTATACAATAATCGCCACAGTACAATCAACCTGTAGTTCAAGAAGTGTATTACTATGAAAATCATCAAAAGTTAACAAAGTTACTTACATTGATTTCTTGTTTTCTTATATTTTGCATTATGTATCTGAAAACTAAATTATATTTTATGTTAACAACTACTTTCTTGACTTCAATGAGAGGAAAAAAAATGAAACAATTTTTGTCTTGATTTTTTGACCCACAAACACTGATTCTTCTGAATTTGTGTGAACACAGCAATCTACTTCAAGCACCCAAATGCACCCAAAATGAATCCCTTGCTTTATAAACAATGAAATTGGGAAATTAAATAACCTAGATAAACCTCAAAACAGGTATAAGTGTCTTTATAAACAAGACTGATTAAAAATACAATGAAAGCATAACACAGAAAAGCAAAGACAGGGAAACAAAAGACTGCAGAGCATATTTTTAGGGCTGGCAAGTCCCTGCTGCCCAGCACAGTACTATTAGATGTACCAGCTCAGATATGTGATAAGCTTGCTGACACAAGCAAACATACACTGCCAGGGACTTGAAAAAGCTTGCACAGAACTGACACACATCTGCATCTTCTTTTCTAGCACTGCTGCTTCCATTATTAATACACACAGAGTCAGTCATGTGCACAGTGCTTGGTACCTGGAGTACAATTAATCATAAACGTGGATTATCTTCTCAGAGACAACTGAAATTTGCCTATCAAATTTGCAATGAACACAGTATTATATTTTACGTTTACTGAAGAAATACATTTTACTATAGCAAAATTAAATTTGTGAACTATAATGCTTCTTACATTCTAAATCTCTGGAAAGGAATGGCTTGATCGTATGATTAACACACTTGGATTCACATGAGTTCTGCAGTAGAGAAATACTCCAGTGATAATAATATACTTTCCCAATACTTCGATAGCACACTTTCGTTTAAGCTTCTTTCAACTTTATGTGTATATCTTCAAACAAGAAATAGTTCTGATAGTTTGATAAGTTTCCACACAGTGGGGTTTTTCTTATTGCTCCACGACACCATATCCGTAATCAAGTGCAAACTTTGCTGACTAAATTGACATTGTAGATACATTGCATATGAGCAGCCTTTGGCCTCCACAGAGTCTGGAACTTCTGCATGGGAAGGAGTGGAATGGGCAAGAGGCAGTAAAAGCTTCTTAAGCTACAACAGCTGGATTGATGCTGCACTACCAGACCTGGTGTGAACTGTTAAACCACCAAATATCTCTGAACTGATTGGCAGTAGTTAGTTAAGTCACCATAACGGAACTACATTCGACCCTAAGTCTGAGCCCTAATCTGCATGCTTTAATAGATTACCACGCTTTTCCGTAATTATGACACGGCAACGAAACAAAAGAATGTTGTAATTACTGTATAACTGAAAAATAAAATTGTTATTCTGACACACAGAAACATAGAATCATTTAGGTTGGAGAAGACCTTTAAGATCATGTCCAACCACTAACCTAATGCTGCCAAGCCCTAAGCGCCACTTCTACACATCTTTTAAATACCTCCAAGGATGCTGGCTCCACCACCTCTATGGGCAGCCTGTTCCAAAGCTTGACGACCGTTTCGGAGAAGAAATTTTTCCTAATATCCATTCCAAACCTCCCCTGGCACAACTTGAGGCCATTTCCTCTTGTCCTATCACTTCTTACTTGGGAGAAGAGACCAACAGCCACCTCACTACAACCTCCTTTCAGGGAGTTGGAGAGAGCGATAAGGTCTCCCCTCAGCCTCCTCTTTTCCAGGCTAAACAACCCCAGTTCCCTCAGCCGCTCCTCATAAGGCCTGTGCTCAGACCCTTCACCAGCTTCGTTGCCCTTCTCTGGACACGATCCAGCACCTCAATGTCCTTCTTGTACTGAGGAGCCCAAAACTGGACACAGTATTCCAGGTGCAGCCTCACCAGTGCCAAGTGCAGGGGGACAGTCACTGCCCTAGTCCTGCTGCCCACAGTATTCCTGATACAAGCCAGGATGCTGTTGGCCTTCTTGGCCACGTGGGCACACTGCTGGCTCATGTTCAGCTGGCTATCGACCAACACCCCCAGGGCCTTTTCTTCTGGGCACTTGTCCAGCCACTCTTCCCCAAGCCTGGAGCGTTGCATGGGGTTGTTGTGACCCAAGTGCAGGACCTGGCACTTGGCCTTGTTGAACTTCATAGAATTGGCCTTGGCCCATTGATCCAGCCTGTCCAGATCCCTCTGTAGAGCCTTCCTACCCTCAGGCAGATCAACACTCCTGCCCAACTTGGTGTCATCTGCAAACTTACTGAGGGTGCACTCGGTCACCTCGTCCAGATCACCAATAAAAGTATTAAACAGAACTGGCCCCAGTGCTGAACCTTGGGGAATACTGCTTGTGACCGGCCACCAACTGGATTTAACTCCATTCACCACAACTCCTTGGGCCTGGCCATCCAGCCAGTTTTTTACCCAGTGAAGTGTATGCCCATCCAAGCCATAAGCAGCCAGTTTCTCCAGGAGAATGCTGTGGGAAACGGTATCAAAGGCTTTACTAAATTCTGGCTAGAACACATCCACAGCCTTTCCCTCATCCACTAAGCAGATCACCTTGTCATAGAAGGAGATCAGGCTGGTCAAGCATGACCTACATTTCATAAACCCATGCTGGCTGGGCCTGATCACCTGATTATCCTGTGTATTTTTTTTCCCCGTGCAAATATCATTCATACCTTTTTTCTGTTTTTGCATCATGGTTTACTGCTCGAGGAGGCTCTCTAAGCAGAGATTTCAGTGAGCTGAATTGCTGAGAAGTACTGTCATCAAGAAATAGGAAAACAGGCACAGTGAAAGAGTCAAGTTCCACAAGACTATTACTATGAGGAGATGCAAAAACATTCTCATACTGTAGTACGCACACACTACTTAGAGTGTGAGAAACCATTTTCAAAAGACAGAAGCTTGCCAAAAGGTTTTTTGAGAACAACTGATCTTGTTGCTGTACGAGCACCAGTTTTAAAGTTTGTAACGTCAACTTTGCCACGTGCCCAGTCAGACTGGCTCTTGAATGCCAGTACAAGACAGTTAAACACTGCTTAAAGTATTGTAAGACACAATGCATCCAGTGAGTATTTTTCACAGACTTGTTTAAAGATGCATCTTGGTTTAGCAAAGAACATTTCACAAACTGAAGAATGTTGAAAAAATGGATAATGCAGTTCACTGTGTAATTCAGCAATGTATCTTTTTCTTCCACATTTTTTGAAATCCCTATCTTCCAGGCAGCAAGGAGGTTTTTCTGAATGGAATACAGTTCCCCTGATAATTTATCCTTCTCTTCAGTACTGTCTTTTGCATGGATAGTATCAAACATTGATGCAAATTCTAAGCGGCCTTGATCAGCTTTAGCAAAAAATGAATGGATTCTTTGGCTATAAAAGCTGGAAGGGCTATTGCAAAACCGCTTCTCATCATCTGATTCTTCTTCATAATCCTAAATCAGAAAAAAAAAAAAAAAAAAAAATCAACAGTTTAATTCAAGTCTATTGAGAGAGAGCATAGTCTGCAACAAATCACCATTTAGTCAGTCTCACAAATGAAATATTTATGCTTAATTAACTTGCTTAATTGCTAATAAATTTAATTCACAGCAGTTTCATTTAGACCTCAAACTAAATGTGGCTATTCGGAATAGCTGTGTAGACAGAAATTCAATTACCTAACAAGAGCAAAAAAAATTACACTGTAAACACAGGAGCAGTTTTTATACCAGCAAGTGAAACCCTGTCCTTTATTAAGCTCAGAGTATGAGGAAGAGTTTTTGGCCAGATACATGTAAGATATAAAAACCATTCAACAAAAGCTCAAAAACTTCAAAGAACAAATCAAAACCCAAAAGCATGAAACGGAGTTGGGAAAGGCTACACAGCAACTTTGATCACAGAGCCATTCTTTCGAAAAACATGTACAAATTTTGGAACTGATGGAAAAATCCTCTAAAGCTGAGGATAAATCTCTTACTTACTACGGATAATAATATTGTACTTCTTATTAATATACTTACTAATATTTAGTAGTGTAATGTTACGTATTATAATAAAGTGAAGCTAAAGTATTAAACTACAATAAACGGATGCATATGTAGATCAGTATTTTTCATAATGCACTGCTGAAAGAAATAAGACATTTTAAAATAAAAATCAAGTATCAATTGAGAAAAATAACCATATTCCTCATGTCTATGAATAAAATGAGAATTTAACCAATTTTGAATTATTTAAATGTAGCTAGTAAGACCAAATATACCTCTATTATTTGAAAAAAATTATTCTTTACATTTAGAATACCTTTAAAATTAAAGCATTTACATAATTATAAGTGGAAAAATGCTATTAAGTACCAGTAAATCCATGGTTTTCTCACTCATTTCTGTTGTGTCCTCTTCCAGGAATTTCGGAATAGTGGAAAAGATGGAACTTTGGGTTTGAGTGTGTTTTAAAAGACTAGCTTTTAAAGACAACAGTGATCGTAAACACAGATGTCTCCCTTTAGACTAGAAGAAATAACAATAACACAAAACATTTTATCTGTCTCTAGCAAGATCAAACCAGACACTTTCTAAAAAAACCAAGGTAATTGCTCCCTTCTGTAAAAAGCTTCAGTTTAGAAGTCCCAGACAGAATGGGAGAACAGGTCAGCAGGCATATGTTGCGCAGGAACAAACTATCATTTGACCATGCTTCAGGAATGCAGAATTTTCTCAGCACCAGACAACTTTACTTTGCTTCAAGCTGAAAGAATCTGCTTTCTTGATCCCTGAAATGATCTTACAAGTTTGCCAGTATGTAGGGCTTTCTTGCATTTAGTAGTAACATATCTCTTTAAATCCTCAAATCTGTGCCCACTCTTCTAGCTTATGCATGAATACCATCATAACTCACTTCTCCAAAAATCCAAAATATAAACTGAATTGGAAGCTGAACTTAATATCTATTATGTCTTTGGTTGGTAATAGTTGCAGGACCTCTTCCTTCAAAGGTTTCCCTTCTCCTAGACTTAGCTCAATTTAGAAGTGACAGAAAAATAAACAAAAATGTTTTAAGCAAGCTTTAATTGACAACCTCAGTTGCAGACCTAGTGGACACATGCATGCAGCACCATTGGGACTGTTGCTGACTGCTCTGAAACAGCAGCAGCCTAAGACAGAGAGGCTTTACAGAATCCTTTCTGCATCATTCTGAAAGGATGAGTTGGTCAGAGTAGCGTAATACCTGTCAATGCTCTGAACCAACTCTATAGATATAGAAATCCCAATTTCTTCTATGGTTCCAGAAAGAGTATATTGTGACAATTAAGACTTTGCCCTTTACTACATTTTACTGAAATGCCACCCAGACATCAAAGGAATAAAATTTCAGAGAAAACTGTGTATTCATTGTTTCCAGATCAACATTATTCTCAGAACAACTTTATAATTGAAAGGAATTTATACAAATACCACAGTAAAGTAAATTGAGGTACTCTGTTTAAAAATTACACTTTTTTTATACACATGAAGTTTTTTTACTTAAAGCCTACAAAATAATTCATAACCCTACCTTGGAGTTCAGCAAATTCTGACGAATATTTTCAAGCCGTTGGGTTGAATCAAGCAGAAGGGATCTTATAAATCCTGATGGTGAAAGGTTGTTAGGAAATCTAAGCACTGTTATCATGTACCCATCAGAGACAATGAGGTAGGGTAATCTTGAATGTGAAGCAACAGAGAATCTCTGTCTCATAAGGTCACTTTCAGAAGCTGAAGAACCAAGAGACTGACTAGAGTCGTGACAAAAAGACTGCTGTCTAAAATAAAAAAACATTGAAAAATAAGCAGCAACTATCATATGTAATAACATGAACAGAATAGAGAAGAAATAACTTATGAACATTCAATACCACTCACACTACTGTCCCAATAGGTCTATTCAGAATTCTACGGGTCTAAATTTTTGCAGGATGAGCACTCTAGATAACATTATTTATGCTTGCAAGATGCCAGTATTTTGCTGCAGTTGCAACTTTTTGAAAGAACAATAAAAACAGCTTTCAGTATTCTCTTATTGTTTCATTAGTATTACATGTATTTTTTCACAACTTGACTTTAAATTTCTGTATCAGACTTTCTTATCTAGCTCTTACTGTGTATAACAAGTACTTGAAGATGAAATTCTAAGTAGCTTCTAAAGTCATGCATGAAAAACAAAAAAATCCCTCAAGATCTGTATCTTAGTATTCCAGGATCAGTTCATACATTCAACAGAAATATTTTATATCAACACACAAGTCTTCACTTAAAAAAAAGGTCTTACAAAGTCTTTTCTTATAAAGAAATCACTCCTTACTGAGTTCCAGAAAGCTGTGTTGTGCATGTATTCTGGCCCTATACTTTGAAATAATGTATAAAATTACTGGGTTTTTTAATTTCTTAACAGTTCAAAAGTTAGTACCTTATTTGAAAACAAAGTAGCTGCACACATTCAATAAATAACTGCAATTAAGATATTTTAATATATTTTAGTAACTGATTTTTCAACCAGACAGTGTAGGAAGGTATTATAATACTTTGAATGTTTTCACGAGATATTACATTTACACACTATACAGTTGCAGTCACTCAGAATTAATAGGACTTTTTTAAAAAATTAAAGTTTAGATTCTATTTCGTTTCCTCTAGTTTTTCAGACTATGGTACTTTTTGTAATTTGCAGTTTATGCTTAAAAGTATTATCAGAGATCCTTCTATTTCCCCCATGCACCCAGCAGCATAGTTTCAAAATGTGTACCTGGAGTACCCCCAAAAATATTTAAAAAGCTAACTATTTTTTGTCCATGCAAATATGTTATTTATAAGCTCCGATATGGAAACGTGATATAAAGTTCTATATGTAAAATTAAATAGTGAGCAGAAAAATACCACTGGATTAAAATAAATCTTCACTTTTAGTATTTCTGCAAGTTTAATTTCCTCTTACATCATAAAAACATGCTATTTTTAATTACTACTAAATGCAAACATTTTTAAAAAAACGAAACACCTAATGTATACTCACACTGTCACAATGCCAATTTTCATCACGACAGACCCATTATAAGTAATAGAAGAGAACTATGAATGAGAAACAGATATTGAGAAGACACATGAAAAGCAGAAGAGTGAATCTGAAAGATGAAATTTATATAGATTTGTAAAAAATGTTAGAAAGTAAGGTATGATCATGTGACAAAAGCATATAAACATTTTCAAAACCTTTTACCTGTATGTTATTAGTGGATGAAATGGAATAAACTCTGCTGGTCCAAATTCTACAGAGCAGCCAGAAGTAATCACGGTCAGCAATTCACCCATACATGTCAATAAAATCAAAGATCCACGTTTTAACATGCAAGCCAAGAAAAGGCTATCAGGAGTCCAACTCATATCGCCAACCCAGTAAGATCTAAATTGTGCAGGAAAAAACATTTTTCTCTGTCAAATTACAACATCAAAAGTTTAGGATAGTTAAAAAAGAAAAACCCAAACCAAAAAAAAACCCCATACAAACAAAAAAAACCCCACAACACAAAACCAAAAAATCCACAACAGCAGCAGAAACAACATCCATTACTGACCTGATAAACTTGGACGGGACCATGCCAGTCTTGCTACTACAGCCTTTAAGGCTACCCGAAACTGTTACACAATTCAATGTGTTTAAAAACAAAATCTGAGTTGCCTAGAAAGAAAAAGTAAATGTAAAGAAAACAAATGTTTGTATCAAAATGTCGTTATTGTAAGAAACAATTTCTATTGGGAAGTTATGCATTACATTTGGTGTACTGGAAACATTATTATACATGAAAGTGACATTGCACTTCAATATTTATTACTATTTAGAGTATTTATTAATTTCTATACCTATATCTACATTTGAAAAATAATTAAAGATTACTACATGCTCAATATATAATTTAATACTCTAACATAACTTTTTCTAAAACCCTCAAAATAATATAAGGCCACTCTTCTCCAGACTTCTTGGTGAATAACAACTGGAGCTTTCAAGGACTGCATCATCCCATCCTGGTATACTGAATAAGCTGGTCCATATTCCCTGTCATCATTAGCACTAAAAAATACGTTAAGATTTGGCCTCTGAGTAGTTAGACGGAATAACATTATGAAGTGGGAACATAACCTCCAATACATGCTAGGCTGAGGCCTGACTGACAATCATGCAGAATCTTTGCAGATACAATGCAGTAACTGAAATTCATTTCGTTATTATTGTATTTCTTGGAGACCAGAAATGACAGAGGAGCTTACATGGATTTCTTAACTGAACAACAGCATTCACAAAATTGCAAGTCAGGGCAGAATTTTTTATCTATGGATATCAATGTGAATATAATCACATGTATCAATAAGAATGCTGAAAAATCACTCCTAAAAATGTGTCATTACATCCTTGTTACCACTTCATTCAAACTGAACTCTTAGCTTAAATGTACTGTCTATCATTCATACCTTTGGATCAGTCTGATTAACAGCTACTGCAAGCAGAAGTCCATCTCTTGCAAATGCACATAGCAAAGCTCCTCTTGACTTTACAGGCACACACTGAGGAACCAAATTAACAAGAGAACAAGTCTGCTGTACCCAGTGGATCTGGTATGGCAAAGACCTGAATAGCAAAAAAAAAAAAAGACAACAAAACCAAGAGGTTACTCAGTTATGCTGAATGGGATGATTCATATATAGTAAAAAACCATGCAAGACAAAAACACAAAGCATGAGCAATTTACAAAAAAAATATTCTTCTTCAAAAAAACTACAAATGAAAAATATTTTGTATTTACACGAGTTTAAGAATTATGCACTGAGAACTACTTTTACGGGACAGGAATTTGGGCTATATGTATAGAACATGCAAATAAATATAGATGCAAGACATATAATTAAGGCATTCTAGCCAGGAACAGCTTCCTCAGACATTGTGATGTCATCCAGTACAGGAATACTCAGAACTTGAAAATGAAAATCAATAGTATGCTGCTCTGAACAAAGAAGTTGTGGATGCCCCACCACTGGAAGTGTTCAAAGTCAGGTTGGACTGGGCTTTCAGCAAGCTGATCTAGTGTAAGGTGTCCTGCCTGTGGCAGGGGTGTTGGACTAGACTATCTTTAAATGTCACTTCCAACCCAAACCATTCTATGATCCTAAAGATTCAAAACATGACAGAAAACACAAGACAGATTCCATTTGGAAGCATGCCACCTAACAGACAAAAAATAAAGTATTAACATGAAAAAACAAATTAAACAATGGTAAGCAATGAAACTGAGTAATAGTTGGCATAAAGGAATTATGAGTAACATGACTGAGAAACGTGGTTACAGTTTCAGGCTGCAAGTACTATGGTATATATATGCACATTTTCTGTGTTACCAGAAAGGCATTACCATGCTACTGGCAAACTGAGAAAAGAGTGCTGCTGCTTAGTAGGAAAAGGAGGACATCATTACTAAGATAGTATCAAAAGGGCATCATTTAACAAAAGCAGCTGTACCACATCAAGTGTAGGGCAAAATTTTAGCAATTTACTCAAGTTATACCTGCAGAGGATGTATCCATTTAAACTCATACATATGTGTATCTCACTTAGGAAGAAGAATGGACTATACATGTACTCAGGATTATTATTCAAATGCATTTTTAAGTGGTTGTATCAGTGTAACTATTTCAGTACATGGACCCAGCCCAGATAAAGAAACACACACACACACACTGTTACATAGTCTAGAAATAAGAGATGAAAAGGGGAACAGAAAACAAACAAAATATACAAATATGCATGATAAAGAAGAGAAAGAGGTATTCAGGGCATTCATAGCTGCATAGTATGCACTAGTAATACAAGAAAAACAAGAAAAGGAAACTCTATTAGCATGAAGCAAAAAAACTCCATGACACTAACACACATGTGTGCAGGCATGTATATGTATACATAGCCACCCATATACAGTGATAAACACACTCAGTTTTATTTAGGTGTAAGTTAATAACGAAGTACAGAATACATACATAAATGCTGTGACATTAACCACATTTAAATACTTGAAAATGACCATACATGTCCATATATGGATCACATATATGCATGTATTGTCCATATATACATATATAACATGGCACACTATGAACATACATATGCAAACATAAGTAGGTGCTTGTAACAATAGACTAATTGAACATTGACATGTAAGCTAATGTAACTTCAAATATCTTTGAACTTACCTAACATATTTAAAGCTACTTTCATGCCATCGAAGAACCAAAAATGTGAGCACCAAACATTCGCCACAGTAAAACACAAAAGAGCACAAACAGCAATCACCCAGTATCTGTGGGGGAAAAAAAAAAATGAACCAAAACCAGAAAAACCCAAAAACCTGGTTACACACAATTTTCTCTTTTAATTATTTATATATTTAGATCAACAGCTATTACAATTCAGATTAAATAAAATAACGTCATTCAGAAACATAAAGGCTGTTAAGAGTATTACTGAGCCAGAAAAACTGATCTGATCAGGTATTGTATTTCTTGCGTTGTCATTAAATCTAACATGAACAGAACAATTAAGCCTACACAAAACACCAAAGAGGCAGATATCACTCTCAAAATTCACTGTAGCTTCTGTGGCTCTAACTTACTTAAGAAATTAAATGATTGCTTAAGGGGTTGGTTTTTTACCTCGTTTTGTATGAAAGCAGCATGCACTCCAATTTCTTTTTCTTCAGTAGAAGGCAACGTGACTGATTCATCAGGCAAAATTTGTGTCCAACGCCCAGAAGAATTTTTATAAGATGATGTATTTGCATGTTCTGTGCTCTCCCACAAAAAGACACATGCTGTAGGAGTAGTTAATAGTGCCTTTCTGCCATCTCCGGATACGTACAAATATAGTCTCATTAAACACTCTGGGAAAAAAAACAACAAACACAACAATGTGCCAGAAGAGTTTCTGCTCCTCCATTAGATTTAGATTTAAAAAGAGAAAGGAAATTTCTTCTCTTCTCTATCACAAGAAATTCAAACTGCCACCTTAAGTATCTTTCAATTCCAGCTTCATCATTGATAGCAGACCTTGGGCAGCAGTAATGTCAGATGGGATGCCAATTTTCATGCATTTTTTGAATTATCTTTCCCACAAGACTCAACCATTAGAGTTGTTTCCTGAGCTTGTCTTTCTTGAAATCCATCCTTCATTAAAACTATTAATAAATGCCTAAGTGCTCTACCATCTATTACCTTCAGCTCCTAAATGCACTACTTATCTTCCCTGAAATGACAGAACTGTTTGTACAATGCTTCACTTTACAACCTGGTGTCAGTGAGATTATTCAATACATGACAGTATTTGATACGTAAGTTTGCAAATACATGCCTTTACATTGTTCTCTCCAGGTAGCATTTCTCATAAAAACCTATCTGCAGAATAAACTTCAAATTATGCATACAGGGTTTACATCAGATGTACATCTGCTCTAAGGTATTGATAACTTAGTAAGGAACATTTTTCTACAGTTAAAAACTAACCATTAAAAAATAAAATATCTACTGCATTTAAAAATCAATTACTATTTACAGGAGCTAACTAAATGCAAAAACCATTCAAGCAACAAAAAGGACATTTGTCAAAGCTTAGCTAGCACACAAATTATACAAATGCAAAAAAGTGTGGGAATATAGCTTTTACTTGTGCAATAACACTTAACAAAAGGAAAACCACTTTTGACAAATGGAATAGAGCTAAAGACTAATTGAAAAAACCTACCTTGTGCCGCTGCAACTACTTTCCTAGACTCTTCAATTGCTGGCACAATTTTCAAGCAGTCCTGATCTTTATTCCAAAGAAACAGCTCTCCTGTCGTAAGTACGCCTGCCAACCAAGCACCTGTGTTCATCAGGGGAGAGATGTTTTGAAGGATATTATTGTGAAGTATTTAAAATTACTTCCTTTCCATCTTAGCCACAGTTCTAAAGCTGACAGTGAACTGACAGATCCTTTAGATACTTAGTTTCTGTATTTTTTAGTTTATAATACATGAGATATTATACTTAACCATTACTTGATGTTGTTAAAGCAACCACATTTTTCAACAATGACTGCAGCCGAGGGATCTTCTTCTTTGTCTTCCCTGATGCCAGGTTAATCTCATTTATATGTTTATCATCTAAAAGAAAAATAGCCTCTTTTTCCTGTTGAAAGACAAAAGAGCATTTCATCTTTTAAAACATTATTTTCTACGTAAGCCTACAAAATAATGCAGAGAAAAAAAATGTTAGGCAAAAATAATTCAAGAAAAGATGTTACAGCTGCAATTCCATATTAACTTCATTCTTTGGCATATTTGCTTCATACTACATCATACTACAGCGTATTTGCTTCGTACTACATCATATCTAGAGCATCAGTCTACACTGATGATGAATTTGGTTCACAGGTTTCAAACTATCAAACTAATTTTACAATCATTTATTAAAAAATTCTTTGAAGTACCTCAACTGAACTACCTGCTAACAAATGACAAGACAACAACAAATTAGACACCAGTTATCTCATCTTGTAGTGTTTAATTTAGTGAGATTTTTGCCAGAGATTTCAACAGAAGAAGAAATTGGCCTTAAATGGTTACCTACTTAAACTCAAATCATGTATTAGAAGAAAAAAATAATTAGTCTCATTTTATCAAAAAAGCTTAAGCAAGCATGTCTTTCAAGAGATGCAGGATGGAATGGGGAAAAAATTTTTGTTCACAATATCCAACAATGTACTGTAAAAAAGGTTATGAAAAACTAGGAACCATCAAAACGATATCATGTCGTTGGGGGGGGTTTTTATGAAAAAAAAAAAAAGAATCCCCATTGTTTATCTGAGAAATATTGGATCTCCAGCCTCAAGTCAGTAAGAGAGAAAACCAAGCCATTTATTTCAATTATTTTTAAGTGATGTACATTCAAATGACCTCCTGAGGCTTTTTTACCCCCCTCCCTGTAAGCGGAAGTGCAAAATACTATATAATGAAAAAACCTACTCTTTGCAGAACTTTATTTAAGTAAAGTTCATTACATTTACCTGTCCAATCCATGAAATGCGAGGCCATGGTTTTCTTTGCTTGATACACGTAGAGATGAGAACATCTAGCTTAATCTCCATTCTTACTAAACCTCTAGGTAACCATTATAAAGAAAAACAAATAGTGGCTTTTTCACATATCTACAAAGTATCTGAAGACAGGAAAAAAAAAAAAGACAAGAAGTTTTTGTTATTTGGGGGTGGGAGTAAAAGATGGGAATCCAGACACAAACTCTTAACTACAGCAGCTTCCTGCTAAACACAGAGACAACTGATGCTTACCTGCATTTCCAAACTAAAACATCTATTTTCAGTCACGTAGCTCACAGGCTACTTGCAGTTCAGCCGTGCAGACTACATGCTTGCTCCAGCAGGAGTTGAGAGACAGGAGCCAGGAGACAAAGTACCTTGCTAAAAGCTCTAATAAGAACGCAGAAAGCGAGGGAAACATACCGCAGCCTCCTAAG